CGGTAAATCTTGAAACTCAAAATCACAGGGCGGAAAAATAATAAAAAATAACTAGGAGACTTATTGTTCACAGAACAATAAAAGGTCTTTCCACCTTTTTAAATTTCTTATAGTTTTATATTTTACTCTCTTATTTAATATTAAGGGAAATGGCTTAAAAAATGAAAAGGAAAAAAATGAATTTTGACCTTTGACCTTGATTTTCAAGGTCAAAAAGGGTCACATTGAAATGACTTTTAGTTCTATAATTATAAGTTTAAATATTAAGTGAAAGAAGTTTAAGGGCAATAACTCATATAAAGGGTCATTAGATCCTTTAGTACTTATACAAAAGGGTCTAAAGACCCTTAAGACATTAGTGAAGGTTTCATTGCCTCTATTACGGTTTTGAAGCAGTAATTAACAATGTTTTTCGCATAAGGGGCAATAACTTTTGAAAAGGGTCAATCTTGGGAAACAAGAATGAAATCTTTGAAAAGTTTTAAAGTACATATCAATGATGCAAAGACTGATTGCATATGTTAAAAGACAAAAGATACATAAATAGAGCTTAATTTCTTATATGACCTTTTGACCTTGACAAAATATTCAAGGTATAGGGTCACAATTATAAGTTACATTTATAGTTTTCAAGATAAGTTTAATTAAGTGCAAAGAAGTTAAAGGGCAATAACTCATATAAGGGGTCATTAGATTCTTTAACATTTATACAGTGAAGTGTAAGTCTAAACACCCTTAAGACATTAGTACAATGAAGGTGTGCCATAAGGGGCAATAAGACCCTTAAGACATTAGTGAAGGTTTCATGCCTAGCTTAACGGTGACCTTACTTAACAAAATTTTGAAGTAGTAGCAATATGCTTCTAATTATAAAATTGTTTTTAAAGGTTAAGGGGCAATAACTCATTTGATATGGTCAATCTTAGGGAACGTTTAAGACATAGTGAAATCATTGAAATAGTTTTTAAGAGTAAATATTAATAATGCAAAGACTGTTTGCATACGTAAAAAGACAAAAGAGATACAAAAAGAGCTAATTTCTCATTTTTGGAATGACCTTGACCTTTGACCTTTACTTTATTCAAGGAAAGGAAAATTTTTAATTATTTGTAAACATCAAAAAGTTTCAGGGGCAATAATTGAAGGGGTCACTGAATACTTTCCTTATGAAGAGTCAAAATTAGTCAAAGACTTTAGTGAAGGTTTCAATCTCTACGTTTTAGGTTTCTGAGGAGTAGCGATAACAAGCTTTTCTTGCAAAATTAACTTCAAAAGGGGTCAAGGTTCATTTACGCAGGGTGAACTGCAAGAATCTTTTACGGAGTACATTATTATGGACTATAAATCTTTTCGATAAATCTTCAAACAAAAAATAATGCGGCTGAAAAATAATAAAAAAAACTAGGAGACTTATTGTTCACAGAACAATAAGAGGTCTTTCCACCTTCTTTGAATTTTTCAATTTTATTTTATATCTGACTCCTTAAAATTATATTCCATGAATTCGAAACCAAAACTATCCTAAACGATAGAAAAAATGAAAATAAAAAAATGAAATGACCTTGAACTTTGACCTTGGAAAAATATTCAAGGTCAAAGGTCAAGGGTCACAATGCAATTGACCCGAAGCTTCTACGACTGATAGTTTACAAGTTATAAGGTTTTATATTAAGCACAAAGAAGTTAAAGGGCAATAACTCATATAAGGGGTCTTCAGATCCTTTCGCATTTATACAGTGAAGTTAGGCCTAAACACCCTTAACACATTAGTGAAGGTTTGGTGTCTCTACGGTGTATAATTTGGGAGGAGTAGCGATAACAAGGATTTTCGCACAAGGGGCAATAACTTTTAAAAGGGTCAATCTTTGGGAACAAGAATGAAATCATTGAAATAGTTTTAAGAGTGCATATCAATGATGCATAGACATTGAGTATATCTTGAAAGACAAAAGAGAAATAAAAAGGGCTAAATTTCTCATTTTTTGAATGACCTTGACCTTTGACCTTTACATGAATTTTAAGGTCAAAGGTCAATGAATCTTATGCAGTTGGTCCCATGTCTCTACGACTTGTCGTTTTGAAAATTTTTAATTATTTGTAAAATTCAAAAAGTTTCAGGGGCATTAACTCATTGAAGGGGTTTACAAATCCTTCTGCAATGTTAGAGTGAAGAGTCCTCTTGCTTAGTCCAAGACATTGGTAAAGGTTTCATACCTCTGCAGTTTACTCTTTCGGAGGAGTAGCGATAACAAGCATTTCTTGCAAAAGGGGCAATAACTTCGAAAGGGGTCAAGGTTGAACTTCTATGCAGGGTGAACTGCAGTAACTTTTAATATTGAATATCATGAACTATTAAGTTTTTCGATAAATCTTACGGTTTAGAAAGTTCGGCAGAAATAGAATAATAATAATAACTAGGAGACTTATTGTTCACAGAACAATAAGAGGTCTTTCCACCTTCTTTGAATTTCAAATTTGTTTTATATCTCACTCCAAAAAATTAAATTCCATGAAAAAGAAACCAAAAGTGTCTTAAAACATAAAAAAACAAAAATTAAAAAAAACGAATTACCTTGACCTTTGACCTTGAAAAAATATTCAAGGTCAAAGGTCAAGGGTCACAATGCAATTGACCTCATGCTTCTACGACTTACAGAATACAAGTTATAATGTTTAATAGTAAGTACAAAGAAGTTTAAGGGCAATAACTCATATAAGGGGTCATCAGATCCTTAATCACTTGCACAGTAAATTTAGGCCTAAAGACCCTCAAGACATTAGTGAAAATTTGGTGGCTCTACTGTCTAGGGTTTCGGAGGAGTAGCGATAACAATGTTTTTTGAACAAGGGGCAATAACTTTTAAATGTGTTAATGTTTGGGGACAAGAATGAAATCTTTGAAACAGTTTTATGAGTACATATTAATAATCCATAGACATTAAGTATATGTTAAAAGACAAAAGAGATATAAAAAGAGCTAAATTTCTCAGTTTTGGAATGACCTTGACCTTTGACCTTTAAATGAATTTTAAGGTCAAGGGTCAATGATTCTTAAGCAGTTGGTCCCATGTTTCTATAACTTCTTGTTTTGAAAATTTTTAATTATTTGTAAAATTTAAAAAGTTTCAGGGGCAATAACTTATTGAAGGGGTCACCGAATGCTTTCGCAATGAATAGATTGAAGAGTCCCCTTAATTAGTCTAAGACACTAGTGAAGGTTTCATACCTCTATGGTTTACGGTTTCAGAGGAGTAGCGATAACAAGCATTTCTTGCGAAAGGGGCAATAACTCCGAAAGGGATCAAGGTTCATTTACGCAGGGTCAACTGCAATAATCTTTTACAAAGTGCATTCTTATGGACTATAAATCTTTTCGATATATTTTGAAACTCAAAATCACACGGCGGAAAAATAAGAAGAATAAGAAGAAACAGAAGACTAGGAGACTTATTGTTCACAGAACAATAAGAGGTCTTTCCACCTTCTTTGAACTCTTTTATATCTGACTCATAAAAATCAAATTCCATGAAAAAGAAACCAAAACTCTCTTAAAGCATAGAAAAAATGAAAATTAAAAAAAAAGAATGACCTTGACCTTTGATCTTGAAAAATATTCAAGGTCAAAGGTCAAGGGTCACAATGCAATTGACCCCAGTGCTTCTACCACTTATAGTTTTCAAGTTATAAGGTTTAATAGTAAGTACAAAGAAGTTCAAGGGCAATAACTCATATAAGGGGTCATCAGATTCTTTTGCACTTATACAATAAAGTTAGGTCTAAAAACTCTTAAGACATTAGTGAAGGTTTGGTGTCTGTAGGGTCTACAGTTTCAGAGGAGTAGCGATAACAAGGTTTTTCGCACAAGGGGCAATAACTTTTAAAAGGTTCAATCTTAGGGGACAAGAATGAAATTTTTGAAACAGTTCTAAGAGTACATATCACTGATGCATAGACGTTAAGTATATGTTGAAAGACAAAAGAGATACAAAAAGAGCTAATTTTCTCATTTTTGGAATGACCTTGACCTTTGACCTTTACATGAATTTTAAGGTCAAAGGTCAATAAATCTTATGCAGTTGGTCCCATGTCTCTATCACTTCTCGTTTTGAAAATTTTTAATTATTTGTAAAATTTAAAAAGTTTAAGGGGCAATAACTCACAGAAGGGGTCACTGAATACTTTCGCAATGAATAGATTGAAGAGTCCCCTCAATTAGTCAAAGACATTCATAAAGGTTTCATACCTCTGCGGTTTACGGTTTCTGAGGAGTAGCGATAACAAGCATTTTTTGCGAAAGGGGCAATAACTTCGAAAGCGGTCAAGGTTCATTTACGCAGGGTCAACTGCAAACATCTTTTATGGAGTACATTCCTATGAACTATAAATTTTTTCGATATATCTTCAAACAAAAAAACATGCGGCGGAAAAATAATAAAAAAAAAAAAGAATAATAATAAACAGAAGAATAGCAATAGGTCTTTCCACGGAAAGGTGGAAAGACCTGATAAACAAAGACCTAATAAAAGGGAGTTATAGCCATTTAAAGTTTAAGCCAATCAGATTGCAGCGCACGTGCATGCGCGTATTTTCATGACAATTATTATATATCATATTGTAGGACATCTTAAAGTATGCTTATGTTTTAAATTTCAATGCATTTTGCAAAAAAAACAGAAAAGATATTGAGATTTTTGTTTCAGCCAATCAGAGCAAAGCGCACGTGCACGCACGTGCATGCATGTGAATGGTGACCATGCCATCCTGTAGGAGTCCTTTATGTCTATCTATGTTGTAAATCCCATGCTGTTTGGTTGAAAACCAAGGGAGTTATACTCATTTAAAGTTTTAGCCAATCAGATTGCAGCGCACGCGCATGCGCGTGATTTCATGAAAAATTTTATATATCATATTGTAGTACATTATAATGCATGTCTATGTTATAGATTTCAAAGCATTTCATTATAAAACAAAAAAGATATTGAGATTTCTGTTTCAGCCAATCAGAGCAAAGCGCACGTGCAAAAAATCTTACCGAAAAAATTATTCTTTTCTTTATCTGAATAATTGTAAAAAGTAATTTTGAAGGAATGATTTCCCAAGCTATTGGACACGATAATTGTGTTTGTTCCAATCCATTCCTGTGAAATGTTCATCAAGGAAAGCTTTGTGTTGTACCCCTCGACTTCGATAATCTTTCCAAATGCTTGCAGCGGTGTTAATCCAGTTGTGAAGGACACCATTTCTCGAAATATGGCCAACCCGTTCAAGTTTTTAATAACTACCTGACTATTGGGTGGTGGAAATGAAATAACATTCAACTCTAATGTCAAGTTTCCTCCAAGACTTACACTGACGGTTTCTTGAGACGAAGATATAAAAGGTGGTCCTGAAAAAAATATGGAAACATTCTACAACATTATTTTAATTTTGATATATAAAACAGTTTTAAGGCCGTTTTCAGTGCTGAATATTAATATTATTTTACCATTTACACTTAAGGTGACAAAACTCCTCGATTTTTCCGCTGACATCAATGTTCCACACGAAGTATATACTATGGTACAAATATATCGTCCCATGTCTTTGTATGACACACGTTGAAGATTAACTAACTCTGTTGGGAATGTTCTTACAACTGCGCTATTTATTCCAAGTATGTGCTGCCATTCCACTTTTAAAGGTTGATACGCTCCTTTAAGAGGACATTCTAATGCCACGTTTTCGGATATATTTTTCGTGATATACTCTGATTGTCCATCTAATTAATTAGAAAATATTACTTTGTATCTATTTTAATTAAAGAAATAGATTTTCAAAACATGGTATAAAAACAAATTTGATTTTCACAATATCATGTAATTAAAGAAACATTATACCTGGAATAGAGCTTATGGACTTTACCCTTTTCCTTCCATTTAAATTAGAGTTGTTCCTACAACGAAGCATTGGTGTAATTTCGATGCGAAAGTAAGAGTCTGAATCTATGCCATTTTTGGAGTATCTCAATGCTGCGGTATCTATAGTGGCTATCTCTGTTTCATTCTGATACAGTTTTACCCGATAACTAAGATTACAGCCATCTGCTTTTTCTGATGTCCAGTTTACGTTAAGTGTGCAGCGTTGAATTGAGATATCAATATTATCACTGCTTGAGAAATCTTGAGACGCTGTAACTACAGAATGTACATTACACACATGTATTTCTTTAACGATTAAATATATTTTCAACTTTTAAGTTTAACTTACTTTTTAACTTGTATTTAACAGCAATTAAGCAAAAAATTGATGCAGAATGTAAAAAAGACATATTTGATCAATAATTTATAAAACGAAAAATTCATCGACGTACTTACTGTCAAATAAAAAGCACAATAATATATTGGTTAAACTTAAGGACTTTGTTAAAACATACATTTTGCTTGAAACGTTAAAGCATCTTGTTAATCTATACATGTAAGTGCATTCTAGATAAAATAACGGAAATATGAGTAAACAAATGATCAATCCCACATACAAAAACATACACAGTTAAAAGAAACTAAGTGGAAGGAAATGTGTCGCAAAGGGGAAGACAACACTTAAATGTGCACATTTAACATTGTAATTACTTTATCGTGTTGTTTATATAAAATAATTTATCCAGATATTCACTTAACGTAGGACAAGACCTATTTGAATTTCCTCTTAAATATTAAAGGAAAGTTCTGAAAAAAAATTAAAATTATAAACTTTATATTATAAAAAGCTTTAGTCATAAGTTTGGAGAGACATAGTCATCAAAAACCATGGAAACATAATGGATTTCCTGGAGAGAAAAAAATGTCGAGATTGCTGTATATATTTACATCGTATTATCAATAACATATACATTTATGCAAGTGATTTCATTTATACGTCGGCTCGATATGTCTAAGTGTACTTGAAATAAAAGACACTAAAGAGTTAATAAATTTGTTTCATGTTTAGATATTTTTGGATATTTTACTAGTACAAGTAAAAGACGTTAGTGGTAATATAACGACAAAAATTCATTATAAATATGCTAAATATTCTGACTTCATTTTTACATTGTAACCTTCCTAACTTACATTATATATTATATGTTTTAAGCAGAAAATGTAAAGAAACAAAATTCAATCGGTTCAAGAAAATTGTTTAATATTAACAGCAATGACAAATTCATTAATGACATCCGCAAATGCTTCCATAAAAATATGAGCAAACAAGGTTTTGCTGTTCTTGAAAAGATTGATTGATTAATTGTATTGTTTTACATCCCATTCGAAAATTTTTTCACTCATGTACAGACGCTACCAAATACCGTTAAGGGCTTCAAATTTTTACCTTTATGCATACGTGCGGTACTCAGGGCCATTGAACAGTGAGGATTCTTTATCTTGCCGACGCCTGTTGTGATACGGGACCTCGGTTTTAAAGGTCACATCCGGAGGACCCCCAACGTACATTTCAAGTGCAAAGCGCAGAAAGAAGGAACAGTTGCTATCCATCTTTTTTTAGACTTAAGTCAGTCAAGGTCGAGATTCGAATTAACTCACGACCTCCCGATCACGAAGCGAGCGTTCTTGAGAAGATGATTTTATAAAGATAATTTTTTCCTATATAATCTCATGTAAAACGTAAATGGGCCCCGGTCATAGGCTTCGGCTTATGTGAGCTAAAAGAGAGAGCTAAAATATAATGGTTGAGCTTGTCTTGTGAAATCTGAAGAGATTCCAAAAAAGATCGATCGATGTTGTGTGCAACAAAATACATGTATCTGAAAATGCCAGATTTACATAGAAAGACATCGCTAAGTCACTAGACATTTCATCGTCGTTACATTTTATAGAATTATGCCAAAGCAAAGGAATATAAATGTAAGTTCTATATTTCTTTCAATTGAGTGCTTTATTTCCGTATAAATGCCTGAGTGAAAAATATGCATTAAACGTGCCAACGATCTATTTCAAAACAAATATTTTAAGAAAGTAAAAAAATTGATAAACTCACCTGATGGTTGATGAAACAATGGTGTACTTTTTATGGCCGAAAAGGGAGAAAAAAAATGATATTTGGAAATTGAGAAAAATCTGTCTCTTATTATTGTGAAGAAAAACAAGGGCTCGTATAGTTTTTTTTTCCTTGTTCACATATTTTTTTTCAAGAGGTTCAGTTAAACATGTAAAAACATCCAAATAAAAGAAGGCAATATCTGTTCAAATTGCATTTAAGAAAGCTTTCAGTAAACAGATCTCCTGCATAGAAAGTCCAAACACAAATCCTCAGGGTAAATTTCCTGTACCTGGCAACACTGTTTTAAAAAAGCATAAAAACGTCAATGCAAATTTTAAGGAAAGGAATCTTTCAGAGACCATTCCCCATATTTACTAGATCACAGCCATTGTAAGTTTTTTTTTTACAAAAATGAATTGAAACAATCAAGGGCAGACCGTACAATTATCATATATATCATGGCAAGTTACATGTATATTCATCAGTGTCTTTGGGGCATCCCTAAAAATGAGTATGCTGGGTTTTCTGCTCACGGAAACGAAGACTTAATGGATGTGTCATAAGAAATACGTAAGACTTTGAGGACTAAAAAAATTTAGAGAATTAATATGGCGCACTTTTATTATTTTTAGATGACCTTTTACATTATTTATTAAACAACACTTGATTTATCTTTATCTGTCAATGAAGTTAACTTCAATATTTCTTATTTACCAGGGATCTTAAAAGATACTGAAACATACTGTATTGAATGCTTACGGATAAATGTTCGCAAGATTGTCCCGCTTTTTCTCTTCTTTTTTAATAAAACTTTATTTATCACAATACAGTTTCACAAACTTGAGAAGATATTGTGGAACACATAAGATATTATGATTAGATAAACTTTATTAATCAGAATAAAGTTTCACAAACTTGAGAAAATATTGTGCAACACATAAAATATATGTTTATTTGTTCAATTCCCAAATATTAATATTCTAATATAAATATGAAGATTCAGTCTTTGTGATTATTTTTTGACTTTGTAGATAATGAGAGTAATGATTTCATATATCAGTGTTTTTTTTTATATTTTTGAGAGCAATACAGTAAAGTTGTGCATTATTTATATACAGATCACAGCATGAGTAAGAGTTTACTCATCATTGTATACTTGGAGTATTGGATCTATATCACATATAGGTATGTATATTTTGAATATTGTTCATATAAATATTATTTTGGAAGAGTTTAGTATACTTTGATCTTATTGTTTCATCTATAAATCCCAATGTGTTTCTACTTTGTACATATTATTAAGAAAGATAACTCTTAATGTCTTACCTATGGGTACAATTAGGAAAAAGGGAAATAACTCTTCATTTTGACTGAGCTATCTGGCAAGTGATCTATATGTATGTATTGTTATAAAATATTTATGATTGTTTATGTGTATTTTAAAGCTGTGATAATATTGGTAATACACTTATCTACAACGACAAATATTTATAGTGTTTGTATTTATTTTGTCATAAACGAACCCCATTTCATATACAGAATTAAGATTGAATGACTGATATTTTTCTGCTTTTCTTTGTCTTTATTTTCTGTCAATCAATATCTACAATTTATAATTTAGAAGAAAAATCAGAAAAATATTTTTAAGAATATCCAATCTTTGACGTATATAAAGATAGAAAATTTTGATTTCTTTAATGGTAGAAGAGACACATGTATTCATTTTTCTTAAGAAGTCATACTCTGATTTCACTTACGTGTTCTTAATTTGCGTGAAATATATTACTCATATTAAATAAATAAAGAATCGCGCATTATATTAATCATTATATAACGAATATAATTATTTAAGGAATGAATTTAATAGCTACCCATTTTATACGGTATAAACTGGGTTGGGGCAGTTTACGCTTTATAAAACGCGAAGCTTTTAAATTCATTGCTTATAATTTAATTTTCACTCATTTGATGTAAGAAAAAAAGATAATTGTTCTAACAAAATGACTTTAGTTTGTACAAAATTTGAATGTAACGTCAGGCGGATTGATATGTTTTTGACGTAAGTCATTGTGACGTAGGCAACCCATTTTATACGATATGAAGTAAATTTTTTTTATCCAATCAAATACAGCGTTACAACCAGAATTAAATTATTCAAAAATATAAGCATGTTCTCAGACTTTTTCTATTTTATGAGCATGAAACGTACATTTTAGATGTAAAGCCAACATATTGAACATTTAATTTTCATTATTTGAATCCAGGAGCAAACTCGTTATCATACAATATTTTGTCCGTCTGAAACTCATCTGCAGCAAATCCATCGCAACTGAACATACTACAAAAGTAAAAAGCAGACGACATGAACATGTCCTTAGAGGTGGAAGCACGTCATTTTGATATCAATAATAATAAAAACATTTTTACATATACATTTCTGTGTACAATCCCTTACCTTTGACACCGTTTTTGCTCCAGTTCTATGTTGTCTTCAGTCAATTTTTGAACATCTACATTAATAAGAACAATGATCATTAACAACAAAGCTTAAAAACTTTTAGAGATGCCTAAAATTTTCAAATATATTACCTGATTAATAGGCAATTGTACAGAAGCCCAATATTGCAAACCAAAAATAAATACAGAAAAACGAAATAATTCAATAAAGAAAAATTAAATAATTTATTTAATAATTTAGTTTTTCTTTATATATTATTTTTTTTCTTTATTTAAATATTTTGTTTTTCTTTATTTAATAATTTTGTTTTTTCTTTATTTAATAATTTCGTTTTTTTTTTATTTAAAAATTTTGTTTTTCTTTATTTAATAATTTCGTTTTTCTTTGTTTAATAATTTCGTTTTTTATTTAATAATTTCGTTTTTCTTTATTTAATTATTTCGATTTTCTTTATTTAATTATTTCGTTTTTCTTCATTTAATTATTTCGTTTTTCTTTATTTATTTTTGATTTGCACTATTGGGCTTCCGTATAAATTGCAAGTGAATAAAAATAAAAAAAAAACATAACAAAACAAAACAATGCGAACAAACAACCGACAATATTTGTTTCGTATTGAATTGGTTATCATTTAGCTTGAATGGTCTAGTTTGAAAAATGTAAGGGGGATGGAGGTCTTTGTTCATTACAATCAGAACGATCTAATATAGTTTTAGTCTGGCGTGACGATCATGGCATTTTTTTTTTAGCAAGACTACATAATTATCATTATTTTGTAGAATTATATGTGGAATACAAGAAAACAAAACAAAGACATCAGCCTGTGCTTAACTCCTGAATAAAACACATACATGTAAAAAGTAATTTGTTCCAATTTTCATTAAAAAAAATGCAAAATGTTTTAATAAAGATAATATTTATGAAAATCACTATTTTCGGTATGGAATTCTTTATGGAGCCACTGGAGATAAAGCTTAAAGACAAAGCTTACTTTTTACTATAGAGAAGGGATATTTTTTGTGGACTATCACAGCTGAGAAATGAGCAGAG